AGTGGTGAAATACTTTACTTGCATTTGGGAAGAATTTTTTGTTGGTTGTAAAATCTTTTTGATTGTTAGCCATGAGTTAAATAGTACCCAAGGTAGGTTTTCTTCTTTAATCCTTCACATTTTCCTAGTGAGAGACAATTAAAAATTGGTCAGCTTCATATGTATTAGACTTTGTACATATTCCATGACAAACAAAACATAAAAAACATAGTTTTGAATGCATATATAATAGAATAATTGAGATAATCCTTTGAAAAGTATTTCCCTTAGTAGAGTCATGTTAATGACATTGGCTGGCTGGCTGGTGTCCTCACTGCCTGTTTCAGCTATAAGAGAAATTAACAGGTAGTGACCTGTATTAAAAGACTCAAACATAGGAGAAGCTTTGAAACATCTTTAGTATTTCATTCAGGAGCAGTAAATCCTGTTCTCACAATTTGATATTTTTAACATGTCAAGTTCTTGAGCTTTTTTCCCCACCTGTATTTTTTTTGGGGGGGGCGGTACTGGGGATTGAACTCAGGACCTTGCACTTGTGAGGCAGGCGTGGTGCCACTGAGCTAAATCCCTGGCCCTCCCACCTGTATTTAATGTGTTAGTTATTTCATTCCTGTTTTTAAAAAAACTCTTTAATTGAAAATCAATCTGTTTCTTTAAAAATACATTTTAAAAATTAAATGCATGCGGTTGAGCTGGGTGGTAAAAGCTAAAATGAGTATGAATGTATGTTTTCTGTAAGGGTTCTGAAAGCAATAATAGGATCTCTTTAAAGCTCTACTGTATAGGGAGGTGAGTGATCCATCAAAGGCACAGTCTTGGATTTGGGTCTTCTGTTTAGATTAGGAGTGTTAAGAAAGATGGATGGTAAATGTCTTTCAGCTGCATTGTCCCCAAAACATGAAATGAAATCTAAAGACTCTCAAAGAAGGTTTCAATTACACTAGCAAATGACTTGAACAAGAATTGGGTAAGGGGAGGTCATGGACCAATGGAATGCCGATTGTGGATTTATATTGTTTAAAATGAAAACATTATTTCCATTAACCCCTTTCCTCTAACACCTCCTCCAGAGTTATTTTCAGATTGCACATTTGTAGGTGTTAGTCATACTTGATAGAAATACCTTATCACTAGTGTGAATTGCACAGCTTTTCCACGGAGTATTTTTTTTTTTTCCCTTGTCCAATACAAAGTCTAGGGTTTCATTTGGGTAATCCTCTGGAAAGATCCTAGCACCCCTGTGTTCTCCAGACTTGATTTTAAAATGTGGCAGCAAGCTACCCAGTTGTAAAGAAGCATTTCTAAATGTTTTAATTAGAAACAGGATAAATGGATTCTGTGTTGTGGTTGCCTGTGATAACAGCTAATCGACTGCCAAATCACAGTGTGTACTTGAGTTTAGGGAGGGAAAATTCTAAGTTTAAGGGTGACTCTCCGTGGATTTGTTGTTAACTGTCAATACGGGTTTTGAGTCTGGTTTTGGCCTATCGCGGCAAATAGAGAAAAGAGTTGGTAAGCAGAAGATGAAGCATCCTTTTAATGAGTTGGCTGTAGTGTGCACTCAGGGCAGGCACTTTAAAAGAGCACCATTAATTTGAATAAAACAGGAGAAGGTAGGTACTTTGTACATCCATAAAGCACTGAAGGGGATAAATCCAATTATCTGTTCAATATTTAATGGCCATAAAGTTAAAAATTTTAAAGGCAGTACCGCAGAGACTGCTTAGTCAATTCTGTCCATATTATTTTTGACATTCAAAAGTCAAGGTAGAATAGCTGTATCGAGGTGAGCACTCATCACACTGGTCTGGTGATTTACTGGTGATGACCCTGGGATTTGTGTTTCTTTACACAGGTGAAGATCAGTTACATTTTTATTTTTTTAATCTTTTTTTTATATTTTAGGAGCGCTTGAGGAATCTTTCTGAGCTTTCAACCTATTTCTTTTAGTCCCTTGCTGTTAGTTCTGGGTATGAAAGGTAACTAAGGATCATTGATTAAAAATTTTTTAAGAAAAGAATCCTGGAATAAAAGATTAGCTCTTTGGACGCAAATAATGCTCTTTAAAGAAAACAGGTTTTTTTTTTTCTTTTTAAAAATACTTTAAAAATTTCTATCTGAGGAATTCTATTAAAAACTATTAGATCACAGCCTTGTGTTTCAAAGCACATTGTGGGGAGGAAAGATCGTTTTTTAATTCTGCAGTCTCACTCCATTCTCCAGCCGGCCATAGCCACTGATGCAGGTGGGCATTGCTCTAACAGGGTTCACAGGGAGCTGAATCATAGAGCTTCTATGAAAATCAATGCAGTAGTAACAGTTGGAATGAATGTCAATATGACAAAGTGATTTTGTGATATGGTCTTGAAGCTTTATTCTTCTTGCCTATTAACTAATAGAGGATCCCAATTAGCCATTAACATGCTCTAACCTTGCATGGCCCCAACTCTAGAAGCATATCAGTAGTATCTCAGAGAATGTCACTGCTCCTTACCTTTTTACTAACTCTGTTTTATATATTTTCTTTTGCAGTGACTGTTCTGTTTGTGCCTATTACATGTTTCCTGGGCATTGAATCCCTTGCAGGGTGGCTTCAGTTGCCTATAGCTTTTTGATTTTCATTTATTTTTAAACTAGTAGTATGTATAGATAAATTTTGACATAATGAAGGTGTTCTGTTAAAATGTCATAGGGCAATTAGGCAAGAGAATAAAGAAAGATTAAAGAAGCAAAAGTTAATATATTACATAAATTATGGGGCTGGGGATTTAGCTCAGTTGTTTCACTACCTGCTGCTCTAGCCCAAGGACCGGAGTTCGATCCCCAGTACCAGAAAAAAACCAAAACGTGAATTATGAAATGCTTAATAGGCCTTTTATGTTTCAGACATGTCAAAGTTTTAGGAAGGGCCTGCTAGTTGTGAGTGGTTTTGAGTCTCTGGCTTTCCTTGAAAAACATTTAAAGTCCTTTTCTTTTGCTTCCCATTTCTCTTGAAAGGGAGAGTTGGTTGCTTTACTGTATTTTCAAATGCAAATTCAGCTTATCCTTGTCACACAACAGTCTCCAAGGATGATACTTGCTGAAATCTAAAACCATTTAGTGTTCCTGGATCTTATAGCCTTAAGTAGATTGTTCCATGTTTTGTTTCAAGTGGCTTGGGTGATCTGGCTGTTGAACTAGTAGAAAGCTTTGTTTTCTTAGTTTTCTAAAAAGAAAGTAAAGGTGAGAAAATAATGATTTCCTGGATAATTCAAAGAGAGATTTAACATACAAATCCCTAACATGCTACTGTACAAGGATTTCCAAATCAGCTTATGTTACAACTCAGCATGATGATTGTTAAACTCATTTATTTTTAAAGAGCTTTTATATGTGATACATGTTTAAAAAGCCAAAAAGAGAGGGACTCAACACCACTTTTCTTGAATATGACATACATATTCCTGAACTTTTTAAATGGAATATTTCATTGGTTTGCCCACTTAAATCCATGTAGGCTTTAGATGGTAAGTTTTTGAGGATAGGAACTTTTCTTTTGTATTTTATATTTCTAGAACATAGTGTGTCTTTCTTGTGTGATCACCACTTCCATATCTTTTTATTGCCAGTATTATTTATACAGTATTTCTCCTTAAGTTGATTTACGTTTTTATTCAACCTCATTAAAATCACTGTTGGTGAAGAAATGACAAATTTGTTGAGTTGTATCTTATTTTAAAGCATTTAAATTAAAATTCCAGTTGTTAAAATGTATGAAATTTATGTACCACTGAAAATATTCTCATGTATCATATTTGAGAAACAGAGCCTATCAAGGTGTTGTACACTTTCAAATCTGGTATTTGTTTAATTGTGGAGGGGTAGGAATGAAACTTATTGTGTATTTTGTGTATCAAGTCTGTTTTCAGTACCTTAGAATAGTTCTTTTCTCTATTCCTTGTAACATCTCAATGAGGAAGATGTCCCAGTTTACACATAAGGAAACGGAGGTACGGAATGATTAAGTGACCTTCTCAACATCAAACAGTTTAGTAAAAACTAGAGCTAAGGTATGAACCTAGATCATCTGATTTCAAAGTCTGTGCTGCTTTTGGTACATGTTGCAGACTCCTAGTAATGAATTAACCTTTGCATTCCTATAGCTCTCTGCTTTCCTGTCGTTAATTCTCTGGAGTTAGGAGAGAGTTGCTCCTGAACAATATTTAGTTTGTGATTTCCCTCTGAAAAGGCATTTTCCATGTTCCTGAATGTTGTCCTTCCTTTCCTTCCTTTTAAGGCATGTATGAAAGGGAACATTTCTGAGGGGCACATGTATGTTTTAGAGATAGTCTTTCTGTAATTGTTGTTCATTTTATGTATACTACGTCATATACTTTGGAGACACAGCTTGGAGATGATCTGATCCAACTCACCACCTTTATCCCTAAACATCACAGACTTTCAAATCATACGCCTGAGTTTCCTTTTCAGCATAGATGTATGATCAGCCGACCTTTGCTTGATTACCTCTAAATATGGAATTTCACTATGGCCTTTTAAACTGTTACTAAAAAACAAGAGAGCTAATTTCCTAGTAGGAAAAGGAAAAAGAAGCCTAATATTTCTTTGATTTATTTATTTTGGTGGTAGGGAATAGAAAAAATTGTTAAAATACTGTTTGCCTTTGGATACATTTAGAAAACATATTTCCTCTTAAATAACTTAGTTCCTATTTCAAACAATTATTAGGATTTCATTTTCATTTGTCTAGATGGCACACTCAAAGATTGTTTAATGGGATCACTTACATTGATGGATGGTTTAATATTTTGACGATAACACACAGTAGCACTTAGAATAAGGACTGGCATGTGAAGAATGTGAATATTTCAGCTTCAACAGCAGAGCTAGTGTAAGTGTAGTTTTGTGTAACTTATCTTTAGCTGCCAACTGACCAAATTATACTTCCTTTTCCCCTGCAGATTAAATATTCTTGGTTTCCTGTCTGACTTATTTTCTAGATTCATCTTCTGTCTTCCAAATTATGGAAAATGAGGAAATAGAGGAACTGAATGTCTTCCTTTCTGCTTGCAGACCTGGGTTGCTACTGAGCCCTGGGAATCAATACACGAACCAGTGCATCGTCATAGCTCACTCCAAATAAGGTGTTTTCACCCCATTGATCTGGCCTATATCTGTTGATTTTGTTAAACAGTCTGTACTGCAAGGGGAGGAAGAAGTTGTTATTTTATTATTCCCTCATAAAATTAATTGGTGCCTCAAATAAATATTATTAAAAATACTGTATTTTATAACATACGAAGATGATTAATATAGTTTCAGTATGGAGCTCTTATACTTTGTATGTTTATGTCAATAAACTCATAAAATTTCGAAAATGAAATGAGCCATAATCTCATTTTTAGTCTCAAAAGGTAAGAGTTGATCAGAGGTGGTGACCACATAGTTCCCCAAAGCGTCAACAAGTGAATAATTTAACATGCCTGCACAGAATTTTGCTCATTTCAAGAAACTTGGTCACCTCCCCTTCCCTACTTGAGGCAGGGAATTTAGCTTTATTGAAGCCAAAAATCTAGTACAGCATTTTGTCAGCTAGAGAATATTTTGGGCTTCTGTATTTTGCCTGTTGTTTTTTTCCACAAATGTGTGAAATGTTGGTATCACAGGAAAACCAAGCTATTTTTGATCTTCTAAAATGTAACTCTATGGTCTCATGCAGGGCTGAATTTCTTTTAATATGCTATTTTCTTCAACCTAACCTTTATGTAAGGAGAAGTAATAAGTTTATTCTCAGTATTGTGGATATTTTAATTGAAGATAAATGAGTTTTCTTTTTAAATGTCTTCAGTATTACATATCTTCCGGTTTATTATCCTAATTTCAGTAGATTGGCAAAGCCAGATAAGCTTAACAACCCTAACCTGATTCAGCATTCATTACTTCTGCTAAATCAAATAAGACCTGGCTAATAGAAACATGGCTTGTGCAGCCATTCTTCAATTTAATTCAAATATTGTACATTGTATTGCACTTCTATATGTATACCAAAGACAAAACTTTATTATCAATTTGGAAATACTCATGCTGCCCTCTCTAGCTAAAGATATTTATCATTTATTGTTAAATCTCTTTGGGGAATGTCTTTAAATTCTTAAATATCAGAGTTGTTGCACAGAATGGATATGGAGCTAGTTCACTGAGTGTGCCATCAAAGGTTAGGAATTTAGGTGTCATTTTACTGTAGCAGAGATTGGCAATTTTTTTCACTAAAGGGCAAGATAGTAAATATGTTAGGCTTTGTGGGCCATACGGTCTCTTTCACAACTACTCAACTCTGCTGTTGTAGTGTGAAAGCTGCCGTAGACAATATGTAAACGAATGAGCATGGCTCTGTTCCAATAAAACTTTATTTATAGACACTGAAATTTGAATGTCATAGAATTTTCATGTGTTGTAATATATTATTCTTTATTTTCCCCCTAATTGTTTAGAAATGTAAAGCTATTCTTAGCTCACAAGCCGTCCAAAAACAGGTGGTTTATTGAATTGGGGTTGTAAGTTTGTTGACTCTTGTTTTTATAGAGACCCATTTTGTAGTGTATTTTTATATTTATATATTTATGTTCTTATTTACTTTCTTTTTTTTTGGTACCAAAGATCGAACTCGGGACCTCGAGTTTGCGAGGCAGGCGGCGGAACCACTTGGCCCTTACTTATATTTTTTATGTGATTTTTGCCATGAATTTGCTTGCTCAGTTTTCCATAGTACAGAAAATATAAATGGGATGCATTTTTCCTGTCCTATTATTTGCCAATTGCTGCTTGGTTTGGCAGAGGACGATCAGGTGCTCAGCTTCTAATGGGAGTAGTTTCTGTTAAGATTTGGTAGTTGCTGTTTATAAATTCTCAAGGTGCAGACAGTGCAGCAGAATTGACTTAACTCATTTTCACATTCTGGGAGATGATCTGTTAGTCTTGAGGATGCTGTCAGTTTTCTGTGTTATTCTCCCTGCATGGTCATTAACAACAGGAGTCCATAAATTGATCCTGGATTTGTATTGTAAGCTGTTGGCCCTGAAAACTTGGTGCACAAACTTGCTGTCAGGGTTTGTATTGATGAAGATAGTCTGAGGTCAGCTTTGCCACTGTACCCTAACCATGTATTACTTGTGTCAGTTGATTTTTAGGTTGCGTTGTAAGAAGGCTCCTATTTTAGACACTTGATCCTAGACACGCTCACCTTAAATATTTACCATACAATAATGAATCATTCGCACTTAAAGTTGGCAATGTCTGTTTGGAAGGATGTTCATCAAAGATTGGATTAATTAATCAGATCCAGATTTTGCGAAATTTCTTTTAGAGTGAAAGTTCAAATTGCTAATCAATGTGAACTCTACCATCTGACATTATGGATGCTTGATTGTCTTTCTTATTTAAGCTTGCTATTAGGCTTTTTTGTAGGAGTATATTCTTATCCATAGATATTTCTAGATTTTTTTTGAGTACTAGCTCTTCACTGGAATAGTAAACATAATGATAGTTTTAGGTATATGAATTATTACTACTCCCCATTTTGAATGATGATTATTTAGCTTTGGCAATTGTAATCAGCTTATTTCTAGAATTAATTATTAAATAAATAATTTAACTAGCTGGCAAATTTCTAAGTTTAGCTAAGTTCTGGTCAGATTGCACTTTAGTTTCCTGTAAGTAACTTTGCCCTTGCTTTACATCATCACAGAAGGAAATTTGACAAAGACATGAGTACTCACTCAGCTCTGGGATGTTTTTATTTTTTTTGTCCAGTAGTTTCCCACCATGAGAATCAGACCTCTCCAAAAATGTTTTACCCTTTCCTTCTCTCCAGTAAGCAAATATTTGCAAATGACTTGAAAATGATTTCAAGTATCAGAGAGCTTTCTTTGACACTAGCCCTGCCATTTTTTTAGGTAGTACACAAAGTTCTGTAGGTCAGCTTGAAATCATAATGCTTGCAAGGAAAAGAAATTAAAATTGACTTCAAAGGACAACTCTGACATGGTCAATTAATAATTAAAACAGTTTTTTAATGAGCTATGCAATTACCTGTATGTCCCCGGAGATGATGGTTTATGGTATTATTGCGGTGCCCTTTCTTTAGTCATGGCGCATGACATTTGTAATTTAAAGTCGGCTAGACATTAAAGTGACAGAACTTTCATTAACCTTGTCTAAAGTTTGCTGATGACAAATGACTTACAAAACATGCTGTTGTCAAAATATATTGCATATTTAAGTACCTCAAAAGTCCTATGAGCTCTGAGAAGCTGTGAGATTCAGAGAGACCAGGGCCACTAGTGTCCTCAGGAATTACCTGACAGGATCCCGGTGCCTGATACAATTTCTTTGTACTCGGGTAAGTGGTATTGCTTCAGACAAGAGCTGATGTACTTTTCCTGGCCCTCCGGTTCAGATGGGTTTTTGTACCACATGATCTGCTTCTATGGACCAGTGGCTTATGACTACTGAATAATTTCTTCTAAATTTGCCTTGGCATGTAAACTTACAGTTTCAGAGGCAGTTTTATTATTTTGACTTGGAACTATTACAGAAATCATGTTTTGTTTTTAGCTTTTCTGGTATCTTTCTTTTTAAATTCTTAGCCATTTACCTGTGCTATGCCATGTCTCTCTTTATTATCCCTGCTGTCCCGTGCCTCTCTGCCTGTCTGACTGTCATAATCCATGCAGAAGTATCTTCTAATCTATGCTGATCAGCATATTTCTAATTTTGTAATCTTCATGTTTCTTCTAGAGGAATATTTGAAATGTTACCAAAGAGGATATTGCTAAGTGAAATCCTTTTATAACAGTAATAAATATGAAGTAATTAACACAAAATGAGCAGGTATTATACATTGAGCTGAGTTCAATTAAGAATACTTAATCCTAGTATTCACAGTTGACAGTACTGTTCCCCCATATACAAATATAAAAACTAAGATGCAGAAAGATTAAATTCTTGGCATACTGTTTCACAGCTTGTAGATGAGCAAGGATTCAAATTCAAGACTGACTCACATCAGAAATCTTGCTTATAACCACTGACCTCTCAACCTCCTTTGACCTTTTCAAAATAAATTGCATATTTATTTGCTATTTTTATTTTTCTACTAAATTATTAATAACAGCCATTTCATCTTTTTATTATACAATATATAGCACATGAAAGTATATTAGCTAGTTAGCTAGCAAGTATGAATTTAATATTCTAAGTGAAAGTTGAGTATTTTGATTTCATTTGAGAGATTAGTTAAAACAATTTATAACTATCTTTTAACCCAACTAGCATATGATAGGTACTTCATAAATATTTATTACTACTACTACTATTACTGTTATACTCCCCGCACTTATTATATCCTGATTCTGTTGCGGGTCTGTGTTCATGATTAGTTCCCATTAAATTGTAGACTACAATTTTCATACCATATTGTTATTTCTTTTACTCGAAGTCCATGAATATATGTGAATATTATAACACATTACAAAATAATACTTCTGTCCTATAGAATATTTCCTTATGCTCATATTGCTGAGTAGTGTAGTTTTCTGCATACTCACTGAAGTATTTTTTAGTTGAAGTATAACATCAGAAGATACAAAAAATACAAATGTACAACTCAATAAATTATCACAAAAACACTTGTGTAACTGTTACTCTAGTCAAGAAATAGAACTTTGCTAGCACCCCAGAAATCTCCTTTATGGCTTCTTAAAAGTACTGCTCTTTTTTCCTTCTCAAATATAACCCAGATTTTTACTTTAATGCTTTAATTTTGTATTTTTTTTCTTTGTGGTTTTGCTTTTGATGTTTTTAAACTTCTTGAGGAAAATGTCAAATGTACAAAAGCAGACAGAATAGTATATTGAATCCTCATGTTCCCATCACTCAACTTCAACAATTATTAACTCATGGCCAATGTTATTTCATCTGTAATCTCACCCATCCCCTTGCCATGGATCATTTTAAAGGAAACTGTAGACATTATATCATCTCCTTCATAAAGATTGTAGTATATATCTCTAAAAAACAGGGACTCTTTAAAAAGATAATCACAATTGTATTTGTACCTAAATAAATACTAATACCTTTAGAACTAACAATATCTACCAATGTCCACATTTTCTATAGCTGTTTTATTATTTTGAAAAAAATATTTTGGCTTGTTTGAATCAAGAGCCAAATAAAATCCACGAATTAAAACTATTGGTAAGTTGAGTTTCGTTTAACCTATAGCTTCTCCTTCGATCTTTTTTTCCTGAAGTTTGTTTGTTCATGAAATTGGACTCTCTGTCCCATAGTTTCCCAAAATCTGATTTTGCTTATTGCATCCACGTG